TTGAGTAAAAGTAGAAGTACTCAGATCTTGTACTTGAGTAAAAGTAGAAGTACTCAGATCTTGTACTTGAGTAAAAGTAGAAGTACTCAGATCGTGCGCTTGAGTAAAAGTAGAAGTACTCAGATCTTGTTCTTGAGTTAAAGTAGAAATACTCAGATCTTGTTCTTGAGTAAAAGTAGAAGTACTCAGACCTTGTTCTTGAGTTAAAGTAGAAGTACTCAGACCTTACGTTTTTAATATAGCTTTAAATTTGAGACTTTGTGCAATTATTATCAATTTTAATCTTACTTTTATAAAACCAACAAACTAAAGGGCCAACGCATAGATGTTATGTTGTTTCTCATAATAAGATGTGTTAACTGTCATTTTCACTTCTGTCTCCTCTTTTTATAAACCTTGTTCATATCTTTTTGGTCTTGACCCGTTCATCTTAAAAACGTTGATATCTTAGCCGCTCAAAGTGACTCCTAGCGTCTTCCTTCCCTCTACTAATCCAGAAGGACACAGTACTTTGTTAAGCATGAAGAAAGGTCGTATGAACTTTCATTTGGGGTTTCTCTTTCAGGGGTCTTCATGCAGCCGGAGAGGAACAGTTCATCCAAACCTCCAGACCGTCTCTCTCCAACAGCGGGTCAGACTTTCTAAAGGGTCTTGGATCGTGTGTGGAACTCGTTTAAAGCGTCTGCAGTGACGGCAGGATGTTGGAGAGCCAGCCCAACGCATTTAAAAGACTTTGGGCTCGATGCCAGCGTTCCCAAACACCCATCCATAAACAGCACCCTGCCTTTGTGCTTAATCCCTGGCTCTACACACACTTCTACCACCCAGGGGAGCAGGCCTTTTAAGTAACGCGTTCACCCAGACAAGCCTTTTGTGCCCAGGAGCAAAGCCTCAGTCTCTGAGACGGAGAAAGAGTTTCTGAAACTGAGACGAGGAGGGAAACGCAATGAGGTAAAACTATCCTGCACTTCAGTTACTCTGGGCTTCTCAGGGCATTACAGGGAAAGCATGTTTTTAAAGCACAATAACAAATAATTAAATCTGTTTTGCTTCCAATACCTTCTTTCAGACTGGTGGGAAGAAAACACGGATACTCACAAAAACACGCAAATCAGAGCGCATCCCCCCCATCCTCCACTCACTCCACTGGCTCCCTGTAACACACCGGATCAACTACAAAGTCCTCATATGGTCTTCAACGCCATCAACCACACCGGACCCACCTACGTACAGGAACTGCTAACCAGAAAACATTCCCATACCTCACGCACACTCAGGTCAGACAGCTCCAATCTCCTGGCTGTCCCGCGACAAAACTGGTCACCATGGGAAACCGTGCTCCCTGGGTCCACGAATCAGCTTCCAGAGAACATACGGACCTCGGCATCACTCTCAGTTTTTAGGAAATGCCTCAAGACCCACCTGTTCCACACCGCATGTTACTGACTGTCCTTTACTTTATTTATTTTTAAACCTTTTAGGCTCTTAACCTTTTATTTTTACCATATTTAATCCAATATTCTCCTTTAGATATCTTCTTACTTATTTTTCCCTATAGCTCTGCGAAGCACCTTGAGATGACGTTTGTCTTTAAAGTGTGCTATATAAATCAAATGTATTATTATTAAAACATTGTTATATTAACTCTGTCCGTGTGTCTCAGCCACTGCCGGGTGAATTGAGTCAACGACAGGTTACATTCTCTCCAGCACTTCCATCGAAGACTCACCCCCTTTCTTAGAAGATTGAAATATTATGCCGTACCCCCGATAGTTGTAGCGGCCAAAATCATAAAGAAATAAACCAGAAATGTAACTCAAATCAAACCTGAGGCAGCAGTTAGCGGATCGTACTCAGTGTTCAATGATCCAGAAGAGTCCTTTCTGTGCTTTTTATTCCTATACAATATGCAGAACAAAGGGTTAACACTCCCTGGATCTGGGACATCAAATATATGCTGCCGTCTAGTGTTCAAAATATAACAAGTAACACTCAACCGTTGTAACGGGAGCAACAAACGTTGTAGCATCAACGTTGTGATAAAAAATCGTATCTCGTGCAACGTCAATTTCACCATTTTATGTTTTCTTTCTTTCTTTCTTTATTTATTATCCATTGAAGTGGGAGCCTGGGACTTCAGATCGGCATGCCAACAACTACCATGAAGCTATCATATCAGATATCAGATAACTGTTGTTTTTACATCACATGTCACTTGTTAGACGCTTTTATCCAAAGAGACTTCCTGTGGGCAATAATAATAATAATAATAAATGGGATTTATATAGCGCTTTTCTAGACCCAAAGACGCTTACATTATGAGTCAGGTCGACAAACAAAACAAGAACAAAAACACAAACAAAAACAAAACAAAAACAGAAAAGCAGTCAGGAGGATGTTGGTTCAGAGGGGGGAAGGGCGGGTTTAAGGATAAGCAGAGTTGAAGAGGTGGGTTTTGAGACGGGACTGGATCCCCACAGGAGCACTTTGGGGTGAAGTGTCTCAGGGACACAACGACATGCTGTGGGACTCGAACTTGCTACCCCCTGATTTGAAGTCCAGCACATTAACCACTGAGCCACAGCCTCCCAAACTGTAATTTAAAAAAAACGAACCTAAAATCACTAGAAAAGACAAAGAAAGCACAATAAAACGTACTCTGAACGAACAATCTGGACTTGAGATGTGCATTGCAGACATCTAAGCCAGGGGTGCTCACATTTTTTCAGCTTGGGAGCTACTTTTAAAATGACCACGCCCAAGTGATCTACCTACAGGGCCGGCCCTGCCCAATCTGTGTCATGAACGGGGGGGGGGGGGTGTGTTAGTGGAGATGAGGCCCCCTCATAACTGCATGAACCCGTATGGCACAATACAACTCAGACTGGCTTAGCTGTACGTCAATCAAGTGGAACATGCCATAGTAAGGATGGATGGTAGGCTAACTTTGAAAAAAAAAAAAAAAAATTTGTTTTCGTTTTTTTTCAATGCCATGCGATCTACCCACACGACCCTTCCGATCGACGTATTGGGCACCCCTGATCTAAGATGTAGCTATAGAATATGACTATCGAAGCTTTGAATCTTTAAACATCAGATACCTGTTGTTTCAAGCTTTTAGAAAACAAACCCAAAACACTAGAAAGAACAAAAAATGTTTGTTCCTTTCGGACTCTACATGCTCTGTGTTTTGTTTTTATGTTAAAGGTGACCTATCATGCAAAATGCACTTGTGTACGTCTTTTCTACATGAACATGTGTCCCCGGTGTTCATGGGAACTCACCAAGTGTCAGAAAACACAACCCTCTCT